GACCTGCCTCCGCTATAATCTCGTCTTTATCTTGCCCTTCCTCTCTACCACGTAGTCGTAACGAGTGTATCTTTTCTATTTCGTCCAGTTTTTTTTTTCGATGGAGACGCAGATTTGAATTAGCAGGGTCATCGATCCATGTAGCACCTGAATCGGTGCTTAATTCGCTGGTGAATCCGAACACTATTTCATGTCTGATACTCAGTTCCTTGTAGTATTAGCTGTTCAATGGGACACCGGGATATTGAACTTTGCACTTTGGAACTTGAGTCATCGGTCCATTGATCGATATTTGCCATCACCCTCTGGAACATACCTTCTCTTTTGTCCTTTTCTATCATTCTTTCTTTTAATTTTGTGTTTTGCGAAAGACTCGAGATTTGCCAAATTTCTACGTCGCAGTAGTGACATTTTCTTTCACTAAGCCGAGCTCGCTACGTTTTTTTGTTTCGTCTCAACGCTTTCGAGTGTTGGTCTTCAAAAAAAGAAAAGATGATGAATGCCATTATCTGTTACTTTGCTCTTTCTGCTAGTTAGTTACTAGAATATGGTACTATTTAATCGTTCGGGACAAATCTTTGCCATTTTATCCACATCGTATCGACATATCCTTTACGGTATTCCGAAGATACATGGGCAAAGTTAACTCAGAGTGAGATATTGAGCAACTTTCAGGATGCTGGAGGTAGCCCCTTCCGTAAAGTGCGAATATTGTGAGGTGATTATCTACTCCGAATATTTTCTCAAGAATTCTCAAAGGTCCTACATTTTTTACACATAAAAAATAGGTACATACTATGCTCAAGTCTCGATGTAAAGTAATCGTTAACCACTCCATAAGAACTGACGACCCTACACATACACACACCTTCTTAGGAAAGGTTCCACCTAGGCCATCCCAGTCACTTTCACCCGTAGCTCATACACACTGTATACACAGTAACTCGCACCCACAGCCACACCCACGCACACAAGCATATCCATAATGTCCTGACCCTCGATTCCTTTTTTAATCCATTTGCTTTAGTCCATTTGCTTACCTCTACCTCCAGACCAGATTTATTAATATACAAGTATTCCTGATCTTGAAATCTCCATTTTATTTCCCCCTCGAAAGTTCAAGAAAAACCTACTGCCTGAAACTAATGCAATCTCATTCCCCGGTGTAAACCCTTTCACAACTACCTACTCTAATAAGCCGAAATTCGAGTCTTCACCCTTCCCTCCTTCCACTCGATAGTTCAACCATGGCACATTTTACCCTCACACCCAGGCACACTCATATCCGCCCTTCCGAACCAGCTGGACCCCAGCACAAGCCCTGCTATGTTTTTGAGAATTGGAAGTCCTTATGTGCCCCATGTTTGGCAATTTAGAGGGCCCAATCTGAACCTATTTTGACAAATTTAAAGGCCCAACCTAACCCCTAATTCAGACCACAAACTTTGCAAATTTGCGTTCTCTCTCCAGAAATTCGAACGAACCCCATCGGGAATGAAAGTAAACAAAATGCTAGAACCCAACTGACTCAGTACTCTTTCCCTCCCTTTATCACATACACATACGCACCTACAAACGAATGCTTTGTAGCGAATGCGAGCAATTACCTGATAAAACTAAGAAGTAAAGATGAGGAGGGAGTGAGGAAGGGCATAGGGAGGAAGATGACAGGATGACTCCTATTCATAGATGGCTTCCTCTACCATCTAGCCTCTACCATCTACCTTGGGTAGACCTACGGCTTCAGAACAGTTGTGCAGCTCTCTGTGTAGATTTTTATTTTATTCACATTATGTGATTTTTGTAGAGCGGGTGTTAACATTGGACCGGTTAATATCAGGCCGTATGAAAATCTACATATGTTTGCTGAAGACAGCAAAATAGTCCAGATTTCTCTCTGAGTTTTCTAGGAGCCATTGAAATACTATAAAAAACTGATACTTGTATGCGCATAGGTTACGTGGAGATTTTGTGTTATCACATTAGGTCGACCAAATCAAATTTCATCATCCACCTTCTGTTTTTGGCTGCAAAGCGTTGGAACGAAGTGCGCACGGAACACTTCGGGAAGCATTTCAAGGCCTCATGCTTGACAGGATTTAAATGAGTTGTGGCAGCGGATGGACAAGACCCAAACTCGTAAAAGAGTATATGTTGCATATGGGAGGACAGTGCGGTCATTGGATGGACGAGAGATGAAGAGACAGCCGTATACGTTATACGTACAGTCGTGTGTAGTGAATACATAGGGGTCGCAAGCTGTCAGAAAATTTCATTAAGAATCTGGTGTTGCGAAGTTCTTGCTGGAATGAATTCCGCTCACCTATTCAATACTTCTATTAGAAACGGTTGGAGAATCCCAATCGAATCAAAAATTAAAAATCGAAGTCTGTAATTAGGGATAAGTCTGTGTTGAAGATTCCAAGAGAAAAAAATTGACCGCACTGAATTTTTCGGCAGCTAAGGACGACGCAAAAGGGCCATCTGTCTAGGATTCTACATCTTGCAATCAGAGGCATTCTTTAAACACCATTACAGCCTTGCGAAGTCGGCTACACCTCCCTCTCTGAAATCTAGACCTTTGTACCAGTAACGAGAAGTGCACCCTTCCTCGTGCACCTGGGCAGCTCTTGATAGGTCCGGCCTGGTGAAGAA